CGCAAGGCGTGGTCGTTCATCATCACGAACAAGACCTCCGAGCTTGTTCTCAAGACGCTCAAGCTCTTTGTCGTAGAGAACGCCACGGTCTTGCACAAGCTCGCAGCCATCCGCACCGACAATGGCGGCAAGTTCTGTAGCAAGATTGTCGAGCAATGGTGCCAAAGCAACGGCATTCTGCACCAGCGCACAATCGCCGACAGCAGCAAGCAGAACGGGCTTGCTGAGCGCTTCAATTGCTCCGTGCAAACTTGCGCCCGCGCGATGATGGCGGCAAAGTCCGTGCCTGTGCGCTTCGTGCGCTACGCCTACCTCGCTGCAACGTTCATCGGCAACCGTCTTCCCCACTTGGCGATTGAGAACCAGATCCCGGAAGAGGTCTTCTCGGGCAAGTTGGTCGAGATTAAGCATCTCCCGACTTTTGGCTCTCTCGTCTTCTTCCGGACAACGGCCGCTCAAGCAGCCAAGCAGCAAGTGCCGGACAGCCACGGCAAGCCGATCACTCTCGGCAAGCAGCAAGCTCAGCGCGGCGTGCCTGGTCTCCTCGTCGGCTACCCGCCGGCCACTCGCAAGGGCTACACAATCTTTGCCATCGACTCCGAGGCCTTCATCACGGCACGATCCATCCGCGCGTTCGAGCACGTCAACCCGGTGCTGTACTTGCTTAACCGCAAGCTCCGGCTGCCGCTCGAGCTCAACATCGAGCACTTCACGGACTACAACGCGCCCGAGCACGCCGACGACGCCGAACCTGCGCCCAATGAGTTCCTCAACACGCCTCCCGGGTCGCCTGCCTTAGTGGGAGATGACACGGGAGCCGGTGACACCAGCGAGGTGCCCGCGATCTCTCTCTGCGTGCCCGAGCTCTCTCGAGAAGAGCTCGCCGGCCTCGACATCGACGCGCTCGATCGCCATCTCTCTGCCATCGACGCCGAGGAGCACTCCCCTCTCCCGGAGTACTCCTTGGTCGCTCGCGCCCCCGGCACCCGCATCACCAGCGCCGACGGCGTGCAGCTCAAGCCCCAGCACCTCGCCGAGGCTCGGCAGCGGCCCAACTGGTCCGAGTGGGAGAAGGCGATGGCGCGCGAGTACGAGTCGCTCGTGGCCCACGGCACCTTCGAGGTTGTGCCCCGTCCACCGGGCACAAACATTGTCGGCAGCCGTTGGGTCTATAAGCTTAAGCTCGACTCGGCGGGCCGAGTGCTCAAGTACAAGGCCCGACTCGTGGCCAAGGGGTTCACGCAGACGGAGGGCCTTGACTACGAGGCGACTTTTGCCCCAGTGGCGCGTCTCGACTCGCTTCGGTTTGCGCTTGCCATCGGAGCGCTTTACGGCTTCACCTGGCAGCAGCTCAATTACGACTCCGCATACCTCAACGGCGACCTTGAGCACGAGGTCTTCATGGCTCCAATCCCCAGATTCCCGGTCGCCAACGGCTGCGTTCTTTGCCTTCGCCGCTCGCTGTACGGCCTCAAACAGGCCGGCCGCAAATGGAACAAGGTGTTTCACAGAGTTGCAACTGACGCCGGCTTCCGCCAGTGCCCCAAGGAGCCGTGCGTGTACGCACGCCGACCCACTCCATCGTTGTCCGATGCCGATCTCACTATCCTCGTTGTCTACGTTGACAATCTTGCCATCGGAGCACGGCGCAAGGAGGATCAAGAGTCCGCCATCACCGATCTCTGCGCCCGCTTCAAGGCCACTCAAGGCGGTGCGCTGAATTGGATGCTGGGGCTCCGCATCGAGCAGTCCGTTGTCAACGGCTCGCCGCACATCCGCATCTCGCAGCGCGCCTACGTCGAAGCGCTCCAGAAGCGGTTCGGCTTTGCTCGGGACAAGGGCAAGCGCAAGACGACGCCCATCGTCGCCGCTCAAGACCGCCTTGTCCCTCGCAATGTTGCCAAGGAAGGCAAAGCCACGCCGGCCGAACGGCACGAGTTTGCGTCACTGCTTGGAGCCCTAAACTGGCTCAGGCAGTGCGCGCGACCCGACGTGTGCTACGCTTTGTCGAAGCTCGCTCAATTCACGCAACAGCCCACTCAGTTGCACATCTGACTGCTCAAGGGCGTGCTGCGCTACGTGCTTGGCACAATCGGCTACGGCATCGAGTACGGTGGCAAGCAGCCCGGCCACGGCGTCAAGAAGATCCTCGCGCATTCCGACAGCGACTTTGCCGCCGCAAGCAACCCAAGCGCCAAGTCCATCTCGGGCTACGTCGTCTTCATCAACGGCGGCGCTGTCTCCTGGCGCTCTAAGCTCCAGTCGCTCACAGCGCTGTCGACAGCCGAGGCCGAGTATGTCGCCCTGTGCGAGGCCGCAAGAGAAGTCAAGTTTCTTGCCGACATTGTCCAGTTCCTTGGTCTCTCGCACTCGTTTGGCGCCCCAATCATCATGGGCGACAACGAGGCGGCGCACAAAATTGCCAACAACCCCGCGTTCCACAGTCGGACCAAGCACTTTGACGTCAAGGTCCACTTTGTCCGCAAGCTTGTCGCGCGCAAGGAGATAGTGCTCCACCGAGTCGCGGCTGCTGACAACGCTGCTGACGTCTCGACAAAGCAGTCGGACCAGAAGCAATTTGCCGAGAGCATTTGCCAGCTCCTTATCGTCGATCGCCGTGCCAGCGCGCCCGAGGCGTAGCACTCCTCTCCTCTCTCCTCACTGTCCGCCCCGTCATCGCCAAACATCACTCCTCGCAACATCACACTCCTTTTGCTTCTTTGCCGCTGCAGCAAGTGATCTTTGACGCCGCATGCCTCTCGCCGCACTCTCCTCGCCGTCTGGAACAGCCTCTCCGTCCTCTGCCGCTCCTCCTTGTCACCGTCGTTGCTTCGCTTCGCCTCCTCGAGCCGTCTCCATCCGGGGCTTCTCTCCCTCGTCGCCGTCGTCGCCGACCTCGATCTTCATCTTCGACATTGCCCTTGACACCCCGACCACTCGATCGAGTGGGAGAATTGCGATCAGGGCTGCGCGCGCCTCACATCGCAGAGTCTGTGCGACGCCACGGCTTCGTTGCCGTCGCTTGCCGGCCCCTGTCGCGCAGCCCCTATAGAGCAATCTCGCGGTCCGTGCCAACGCCGCTGCGGGACGCACGCGCCAACGCCTCATCGTCGCCAACACTGCGCCCTTTCCTGCGACGCCTCGCATTGCCGCCACTCGTCTCCTCACCGCCGCCTCGTCTTGCTGACCGTTCTTGTTCTGACAATCTTCGACTCGCCGCTCCGCTTGCCTCCAATCCCCGCGTCTTGTCATCTGGAAGAGGTAGGGGCAATCGCGCTGCTCACGCTCGTCACAGCCGGCGCCACCGCCTTTGCACACGCCGCTGCGCAACGCCCAGCAACCAATCACCGCCCTCGTCGCCGCCGCGCATGGTTCATCCCGCGTCGGCTCCTCGACCTCTTCCTTTCACATCACCCCCTCCATCACGGCGGGTGTCGCAGCGATGATTGCCAAACCTACCCTGATGCTGCGAGCACAGGCAGGACGTAGGCATTGCTCACACCTAGCGCTTGCGTGCGCCCCTCGACGCCGCCGGCTCATCACCTCCTGAGCCGGCGGCCGCCCCTCCTTGCTGTCCGATTTTGACGGCTCCTCTCTCAACACTCAGGCTGCGCCTAGTGTCTCTCCTTGCGCCATGCGCGACGCACCGCGCCTGTCTTGCTCCTCGACAGGCGCGATCCCCTCTTATACTCACGCGAGCCAGCCCCCAAGCGCACATGTCACCCAATTATTCCCCTCTGTCTTTACATTGCCTCTCACAGCAATTGACTCGTGCGCGCTCTCTCCAGAGTCTGCCCTTGTTCGCCGAGCCGCCGTCACCAGCCCCGGTGAGGCCTCTCCGCCCCCTTTGCGAGCCGCCGTCACCAGCCCCGGTGAGGCCTCTTGCCTATTGGGCCGCGTCGCCAGCACCGACGTTGCATCTCGATCGAGTTGCTTTGCCAGCACCGGCGTAGCTCCTCGGACCCGAGCCGCCGCAGTCTTCATTGACTGGGCCTCTCGGCGCGTTGCGTCTACTTGTAGACGTCACGCTCGGCTTCCGCTGCCCGTCACACGGCTGCAAAGGTGTAGCGCTGCACAACAGTGTTACCTTGATTGACACTGGCACTCTCACCCGTGCCAGTGTATCGTCTTTGTCTGCGGATTTGTCACCGCAGCACCGAGCTTCCGCTCTTGGTCTCCGACCACCGCTCTGAGTGCGCTCCCACGCCTTTCCCGGCCGGTAGCGCTACTCCGCGGCTTAGAGCTTGGCGCTCCTCGCCGGCCGAGGTAGCCCCCAAACTCA